AGACAGCTACAGTACAAAACACTGGCTTCATACAATACGAATAAAACGGTGCTGCTCTCTACGCTTTCCGCCGCTGCTGTATGCCTGAAGGGGAAACCGACCCATCCACGTTCTCAGGAACACACTTTACATAGCGCTTCTGCAGCACAGCCATTCGACTGTGGCGCGAAAACAAGGGAAAACTTCTCATTCTGTCCCACCCCGGGCTACAATCACACGAAACGTTCCGTCGAATGGGACATTCCCTATATGCTAATCGAAACACTTTGCGTCTGGGGTAACTGCGAAATGCTATACGTCTACTGCGATGTGTCATGTCCTTTCTTTCGAATGGTACATGTTAAAGTCTGGGAGTCACTAGGGCCGCGCCATAGCTCAAGCGGTTAGCCGCTGGCTTCCCACTGCGGAGGCCAGGGTTCGATCCCGGGTCTGGTCAAGTGGGATTTGTGGTGGACAAAGTGGTGCTGTGGCAGGTTTTCTCCGAGTACTTCGGTTTCCCTTGCCAATCTTCATTCCACCAACTGCTCCACAATCACCCTCACCTATCATCTGGGGCTGGTACAATAGGCCAGAAGTGGCCGCAGTACAAGGGACTTAGTCCCACCCCACTAGCAATAAAAAAAGTAACTATATTGCGTCTCTCTTGCTTAAAGGGGTTGTCCACTCAACGTTCATGAAAGGAACATCGTACAGAATTCACAATGGTGGGCCTCTGATCACGCGTCAGGTCGCCTGATTTGTGTGGGCCAAGAACCACAAAATGGTAATGCGGTGCAAACATTGGGAGAGACGGAAGGCACTCATAACGTGCACATCTAGTCTCGATTTTCCAAGTCTGGAACTTCAAAGAATATGTCGGGGATCTGTGTGGGGTGTGTGAAGATGAGGGTGCCAGAAATAACTGATTAAAAAACACTACTTTCAAGAAGAGAGACAACTGCACAACTGTCAGCTTCTGTGAAGAACACTGCTGCATGAACTTATACCCAGCCAATCCAAACACACAAATTGATCCTCATTCTTTGCAGCATTAGGCCCGCTGAGTTGTGCTACGGATGTAGGGAACACAATCTTTCTACGGTTTCAGACGTCTTCCGAAACTCCTTTTCCATTTCTGCTGGTATTTTAAGAACATTCTACACGTCTATCCCGTCCTGTTGACGTGTCCTTCACCCCCTACACTTTCTCTTCTCAATCGTCAGACACGCCATTCTGCGGCCATCCGTGTTTTCCTGAAGAAGCCCTGATCGCCTTGGCATAACGGCACAACTGTTACATCACAATTGCAGGAAACGGCAGCGCACAAGAGCAACAAATTGGGGGGACCTCGGTATCATATAAACATGAGAGGACTGAAGACCCACGCTGATGTGATTACAATGTGAATAGTTCTACAGAGAGCTACACAGCATGGTGTCCCCTTAACTAATTTAGCACTACGCCATAAAGGCGTATGGGCGAGTGGATGTATAGATCCACGTTTTTAGGTGTCTCACAATATGTTAGTAGCATATTATCAATGTATCTAACTGAATCCTATTATTTTGTGTTTAGGAGAATATTACATATGCTACTATATTCTATAATATTTCCGTTAATATTGCTGAGGAAGCGGCACCCATTGCTAATCCTCCTCCTCCTTGTTGGTAGCAATCATTGTTAAAATTGAAGTGATTACGAGATAGCATGGTGTTTACAACTCTTTAATTTTATTATATTTTATGTTCTGGTGTTCTAGTACGGTTTTGTATTATGTTGACATATCTTTTAGTTGCTATATTCCCGGCCGCGCCATAGCTCAAGCGGTTAGTCGCTGGCTTCGCACCGCGGCGGCCCGGGTTCGATTCCGGGTCAGGTCAAGTGGGATTTGTGGTAGACAAAGTGGCGCTGGGGTAGGTTTTCTCCGAGCACTACTGCCAATCTTCATTCCACCAATGCTCCACAATCTCCCTCACCTATCATCTGGGGCTGGTACAATAGGCCAGAAGTGGCCGCAGTACAAGGGACTTAGTCCCACCCAACTAGCAATAAAAAAAGTTAGTTACTATATTAGTGTAAAAACAATTTGACCTTCCCCAATTGCAAACAGTGTGCAAATGAAGGGGATAGCAGAAAGTGAGTGAGTGTATAAAGTACTACCTGATGATGGCCAAAAATAGTGGCCGAAACACGTCGTAATGTAGAAACTATACAATTATCCTAGAATTATACACATACTGTAGGATTGAAACTGGGGAAAAAATCTTATATACCCATGTAATTATCGAAATATATATTCTTGCGACATCTACCGTCTAAAAAACAAACTATTTCATTCTTCCTCTGACGTCATACAAGCTTCAACGCAAGTAAAATGAGCACGCATCACTCACCTACATGCTAATAAATTAGAATCACAACATTTGACATTAAGATACTACGTCATCAGTCATAATGAGAATACACTTAACAACAAGCCGCCTCCGAGCTCATACGTGGACGAGTGTAGCGAAACGCATGCCGGCTGGACTTTGGCACACACAATCATGGCCAGCTCTTCCGGCTGACAAAACGCTGTTCGGATTTTGCTTCCAGATTTTCCATATCTGCTTTTAAATTTACATCACCCATATTTCTGAAATCCAAGGAATATCCATACGCGCATGCGAATCAGTACATCACGTCGCATGAACTAAAATGCGGGATCAGTAGTCATTTTTTAAAAGTAAAAGTAAAGTTGTCCCTGTGCTTAATTAATTAAGCACTACGTCATGAAGGCGTATTGGGGAGTAGATGTGTACATCCATATTTTTCTTGACCTCAGAAGTAGTTGGAGGTTAGAGGTTAGCTTCACGTTCCGGCCGCTTTAGCCCCAGGGGAAAGTCCCCGGCAGCCATTGGATGAGGCTGAGTGAGACCCAGAGCCTTTCTGGATGACGTTGAAAAGTGGAAATTCTTGACCCTACCTGGACTCGAACTCTGACCCCTCGGTTGCCCAGCCGATAGCCAGTCGCTATGCCAATACAGGTATCATTTGAAATCTGTAGTGAATTTTCAGGACCTCTACCATGAGAATTCACTAACTGTTGCAGTGAAGGGTAGTTGATGTAATCCATGTTATGTATTCTAGGTTACTTGAGAAGTTCCGTGCTCTGGCGCCATCGAGGATACGTGATAGGCTGGGGTCATACATTGAAGCCTACAAGTGGGGTGCAAAGAGGCCTAAATCATGCCTCAAGAAGTTCACGTGTGACAAACCTAAGTTCATGATTGCACAGGCTGACACATACTATAATTTGCTGTGATGTGGGAACATGTGTTTCACAGAAGAACTAGCATACTCTGTGGTAAAGATGTTTGGCCTAGTTGCTCAGTCTAAATCAAAATTGAGTCAGAAGTGCAGAACCAAAAATGACAGCTTGTGGTCACATCTGCTACAAGCTCTGTGCTGTACTTGCAGTGGCTGTTGAAGGCATTTTGGTGCCAGTTAAAGGAACTGCAGGAGCTCAGGGAAAAGCCAAGTAAGACTAGTATAAAGTATTATTCTGATATGAGATTATTGTAAGATGACTTTGTGATCATGGTGACAAATCCAATGGCCTTCAAATATTTCATTTTCAGATCTACCAAAGATAGTGACCCTGATCAGCAGGACTCACATCCTAAAATTTAGTGGTTGCAATAACTTATTTTGTTTTAATACTCCTTTCAGTTACTTCCTTTTTATTTCACAAGAAAAATTACAAGAGTGTTTATGCATAGAGACTTTGATGTTCTAATAAGTGTAGGCTCTAACCAAATTCAGAAGAAAGGTGAGGTTTGGAAGGGATGTAACTACCTTTCTACTGAAACCATTTACTTACTTACTACATTTCAATGAAACCAATTATCACTGAACTTGCGTAATGTCTCTCACCTTGTTTTTATTTTGAAATTGGTTTGTATTTCACTGTATTTCACCTGTTAAGTATTTTGTAGATTAGTCCACGTTTCTGGTACACATATTCATTCCTCGGTAATTATTTGACTTTATTTGTCTTAAACTGTCAGCATTTTGTTCCTGCCTTTAAACTTTCTACAGACATTGATTTTAATAAGTTTAGTAATGTCAGTCATAAGTTACATTTGCTGCTACTTTGTGTCTAGGGGCTTGAAGTGCATATAATACATTTACTTTTTGCAGTAGCTTTTGGTTCAGACCGTGAGTAAATTAAGGTACAGAAAATATGGATCTATACATCCACTACCCCATGTCTTCATGGCATAGTGCTGAATTAGTTAAGCACAATGACAACTTTACTTTACACAATTTGTGGTCCTCTTGTATATTATTTAATCTCAGTAAATTTTACTCTCATGGGCATATTGGAAATGTCAATACAGTTTATCATATTTTTCTTCCCTTATCAAACAGAATTAATTTATTTAGCTTTAAATTTGTTAGTCTGTGCAGACACAATTAGTAAATCTTTTTTGCTGAAACATTCCTTTTATTCTGTAGATGAATTTATGTCTTTTGATTCATCAAGTGTGGAAATATAATATGTAGCTGATTAATTTGTTGTATTTGTGTAAAAACAATGAAATTAATGGTAACTAGATCTAGATGACAGATAACAAACCCCCTATATTAGGGTGGTACAGTGTATACTGTAAAGATATGCACGAAATTAGATGATGTCAGTCAGTTTCAATGATGTCAGTTTATTCAACCATAACACGTTTGTCTTTACATCTGAAGAATGAATGAAATTGATTTTTTCAAGTTTGCTGGTAAATGTACACTGTTGTATTCCAAGGTTCTCACAGCGGTTACTGTAAAGTGTATTTGGATGGGGGTGGGGGTGGGTTAGTACTTAAAAATATGCTAATATTACAAATGCTGTCCCTCACAACACAAAACTAATATGAATAAATCGTTTGGAAAAAATGAGAAAACTGAGCATACCTGCAAAATGAGATCTCCACATTGCGCGTCAAATTTGTAACGGTATTAATAACAAAACGTAGAATTCCGCTTACCTTATTTCAAATAACCTGTATCCAATGTGACGACAGAAGTAACAATGGGCTAAAAATTAAATAAAAAAACAATGCACAAAACGTCACTAAAAAGACGTACACCTGTACCGACAATAACTTGCACACAATTGCCGCCTAAAAGAACGCGGTTACGACAACTACTGCGACTATCGAATAGAAGTTACATACGAAATTATCGAAGTGCATTGCGAGAGAAGATCCAAAGAGAAAATATATACAGAGCAAGTGTAAATTTGAAACATTTGTTTCATTTTTAATTCATTCATAATTGTAAAAACAAAAAAAAAAAAAAAGGCAGAATTGTGTCTTCCGTTCAAATGTTTTTCAGTCTATACAAGTCGTGCTACATTACTTTGATAAGAAAATGACGCCTGGACAAATTTACTAGAACACGCAATTACTTTAAAATTGTGCAGCAATTGGGTAACAGCTGCAGGCTGTATGGCTAGCTCTTTCACGCGGAATTTCAGAAACATGAATACAATTTTTGTATCTAATTGCATAATATAGGTGTACTGTAACACCGTAATCTGTAACGATATTTGCGGTATATTGCAATCTTTTGGAATAAAGTTCTGGTTGTCGGTCTGTATGCTTAATTTAGCCACCCGTAAGTAAGCATAAAATGTGTTAACACATTTATAATACATTGATTTAATCCGATTTTCATAATAAGAACTGTGGTTGCAGAATTTACGAAAAATGGCACGACCTAACCTGATCTCAGGCAAAACGTGACAAGTTTAGGGAGTGAAAACATTGCCAGTGGATTGAGTGCAAGCAACCAAAAGATAGGAACATGCACATCAAGCAGTTTATTTTATTTCATGTGAAGGTCAAGGTTTATTCAGTTATTAAACCTAAGTTCAATAGATGAATATATTTCTGCTAAGCATGTATAACATTTAATAACTATATTCCTTGTAATTTTGTTTATGAATGACAATGTAAATTATGGTTATTTGGTGCATTTGGTTGTGTGTGGTTGTTTGCTGTTGACACGATCGCAGTTCTGCAATCAAGTCTTATTTTGAAGAGTCCAATATCCGGTCCATTTCGGACAATGGATCAGTGAATTATGTATGTATGTATGCAAGTTAAGCCACTGAAATTATTTAACAACCCCCCTTCCACCAGCTTGTTAATGAATGTGGTTTTTATATAAGGCTACTACAATACTTGGGCTACAGAAGGAAGTCCCATGGCTCTCATCACCTTCCCAATCTCCCTTAAAGTGGTATGCTTCCCCCACAGCATACTTCCTTATGTTCTTCTCTAGTCATCTATCTGTTCACTTCACATGCATGAGAAGCACTATAGGTTGGATACAATAGGGTGGACTCCTTGAGCACTGTCAGCGACCTCCAACTGGTTTTTGTGTCACCTCAAGATAGCTTTAATGGAAACAGTTCTAAATTTCCTCATGCAGCTGGTTATTTTAAAGATACATCTCATTTTATCCTGCACTCTCAGGAAAGTTAGATCAGCAGCTACTGGCAGATATAAGCATGTTCGTATGCTTGCGAAGCATCTTCACACACTGTATTACAGGGATTGAACATACAAGTTTACATAATTTCGCTTGGCTGTGCCATGTACTGTTACAACCAGAACATATCTCTGCCTACTGGATTATTACATGACCACCTGCAGCAATCTCAGATCAATTCACACTTAATGTCAGGCAATGGGGTTGTACATATTGCCTCCCTTTGTCTTTTACATGTTACAAGCCCAGCAACAAAGAGGAGCCCCACATCGTTCTGTAATTCTTTTTCAAGCATTTCACTCTAATCTGGTTATGGGAATTCCCAAAGCAGCAGATTTAGCAAAATAGTTTCACATGGTAAGCGTGCATTAACACTTCTTTTATGTAACTATTTACGTCCTAATTTTCCTATTTCTGTTCATTTCATTCTTCATTACTGGAGTAATATGTACTCATCAGATAACCACAAAAGCCTTAAAGATATGTTGTACTGTGTAATTGATTCTGAAAATACTTGCAACATATTTTTATTTTTCAGATTGCATTTATAGACTGTGCCCTTATGCGACAGCCAGGGTTGCAAATTACTGGGCATCTTTAACAAAAATTGGGGGCAGTTTGACTTTTATGAGAGCACATACAGTTTCAGGAAATGCAAAAATGACCAGTCGCAGGAAGTCTGAAAGGAATGCTGTAAAACGTTCGATTCACAAATGTGAAACTGAGACATCTGATAAGAATCAAAAGCAAACAAGGAAGAAGCAAGTTCCAAAAAGATTGAAACCGAATAATGACCTAAATCCTGATGACATTCTGCAGTCTTCATATAAAGGCATCAGAACACCTGTCTATGGGCTCGACAGGCTAACAGACAGTTTCTATGATGTGCCTTGTGAAGATCTGGCCAAGGGACTCCTGGGTAAAGTCCTTGTGAGAAGATTAGATGATGGAACACTTATTAAAGGCCGCATTGTGGAAACGGAATGTTACCCTGGAGGTGAAGACAAAGGTTCTTGTTCACACAGTGGAAGGATCACTGAAACGATTAAAGCCATATATATGAAGCCAGGAACAGCTTTTGTGTATTCCACATATGGCATGTATTACTGCATCAACATTTCTAGTCAAGGTTCGTGCACATATAAATGTGTTTTCATAACAGAAAGTAGAACGAGGCTAGTTTTCTGTGTAGCCCAGATATTTCAGTCAGTTGTATGACATCAGTAACACAAAACATTTGACCACACATCTAGAATAGTAGGCCACAGCTTAAAAAAGAAAACTATTGTATTGTGCCATTTGCTTTTAACACAGTGCAGTAACTAGTCTGGTCACCTACTGGATACCAGAATTTATAGAGACAGTACAAAACTTAACAACGGCTGTCCCGTATAGTTTTTAATTGTGGCTCGCATATTCTAGATGTGATTTTTAGGCTTCAAAATTATAGGAAACATGTTGGATAGAGAAATGTAAAGGAATTTCGGACACTCGTTGAAATAAATATACTCTCATCTAAGGTGCATGATTTTGCAGTGATGTTTTTATGAGCAGCATCATTCAGATGGGTTGTTTTTTGTTTTGAATGACTGGCCTATGTGGTCCAGCATGATATATTCCAGTAAGTGTATAGAGCCACTGTTGACCAGCATGATTCTGAGATGGCCAACTGCTGTGCCCAAAAAAGCATATGGCTTGAAGACAGTTTGAAGTTCACATTAAGGTTGAGGCAGTATTACATCTTGCTGTCACGAAATTGCAGCATTATGCTCTTCCCTAGTCTTTCTCTTACCAAATAATGCATTTGAACTACTGATATACACCGAAGAAAATACAGAAATAAGGTAACACTTGGCCAGCAGGGACTTGGTTCCATTTCATCGTAACTGGAAGGCAAGCTGGGTGCCATTAAAGAAGCCTTCATGGGGTTAAAAGTTTCCAGTCCCATATTAAAAAACAAAAACGTCTGCATAGGTGGGTTAATAATTGAAGGCTTCATATACAAGCAGAGACCTGTAGTGTTCATAGTTACTGCACACCTAAAGCTTGACCTGTGAAGGAGAATTGTAACTTCCATTTGATGCGTTTCAGGTGCAGGGGCAGCTGTTCTGTTGCGGGCACTGGAACCCCTGGAAGGACTGGAATGCATGCAGCTGCAGAGACAGAAAGGAAGAAAGTCTCCGTCATCACAGAAAGAGCTGAGAGCCCAAGACTTGTGTAATGGTCCAGCGAAACTGTGCACGAGTTTCAGTATTACTAAATCATCTTGTAACGAACAGGACTTGACGACATGGGATGGAATGTGGATACAGGAAGATGAGTCATCTGATCCATGTGATATTGTGACATCACACCGAATCGGGATTGATTCAGTTGGTACCAAATGGGCATCAAAGCCTTTTCGTTTCTATCTGCTGGGAAATGCATCAGTCAGTCGCAGAGATAAAGCCAGAGAAGAGACATTCAAGCAATGATGAACTGTTCATTTTAATGAAAGACCTGAAGATTTTCGTTGCATCCTCAAGAATCAGTTTGTAGAGAATTTAGCTATCTGTATCTTATGTGACGTTTTAGAATATTTTATCAAATTTATAATATATACATACTTTTACTATATCAGTAATACTGGCACAGTCAATAAGTTCGTGGAATGGCCACGAAGTGTCTTACAGGAATTTACTGCCAATATGTTTCAGCAGTGTTTTTGGCAGCTATATCAATGTTGGCAGACTTGCATAGCAGCCAACAGCAACTATTCTGAGGGCCAATGTGGATCTGCATAAGTGTTTGTGAATACCTTGTATTGTCTTGTAAACAATTTAAGAACTAGGTTATGTCTTGTTACCTAAGTGATGTTTACTGTTATGTGTAACTACAGTTACGTGTGTAACAACAGTATATTTTTATTGTTAAGTGTTACTATGGTTATAAGCCTGTATGTATATATAAGGCGTACTTCTGTATCAAATAGCTCAGTCTTAATAAAGCAGGAGTAGAGTGAACACTGATTCTCACTTATCATTCGATCCACGTGAAGTAACAAAAATAACAATGATATGATAAAACCACATTCCACGAACTTAATGACTCTACCACATATGTAAACCTCACTAAGAGCAAATCTATTCTTTAATAAAATTTCTCACATCAAAGCATGTGAAGGAAACCCTCTGACAGTAGAACCCGAAGGTATATCACTACTAATACAAAAGTTTGCTGTTGGACATGATCTCCCAAAATTCTAACTTAATATTATATTCAAGTTCATGCAGTTTGGTGTCTACGTGCAAGAGGGAAAAGCAAGTGGAAGTAGTGTGAGGCAGAGGCAGTGACAAGTTCAATGCTAATGCCTGCCTCTTCCTCACATTTCATAAAATAATATATCTTCTTCCATCTCTCACCCTCTACTTTCCTGATCTAGACAGCAGCATTTCTCTTGATGGTACATGAAAGTGCAGTAAACAGCTGCTGTGAGATGGTTTACTCTGTACAAGGCCACACCAAAGACTGACCATTTCACCGCTCTGTGCATCGTCCAGCCAACTGGATTCATCTGTCCGCATGAGGTCACCCACAAGAACAAAATATTGTTGCTGAGAGTATGAAAAGACTCCTGGAATGAGGCATACACTCTGTTCCCTTGGTCTTTGAAGTGACCATTGTCTCAGAGATCTCCCAACACATACATATTTCATGTCTGCATGTACATGCAGTGTGTGCTGCAAAAGGAACTGGAAACATTCTGACTTCAGAACAGAAGAATCTAGTGTTGTGAGACAGTATCTTTGGAAGGCATTTTTATAGCAGTGAATCTTCCATCACAACTATTGAACAAAGTCAAGTAGCCAACAGGGTTAGTGTTACAGAAATCACACCTGGATTGATGATTGGCACCATGTTTTTTCAGTATATACAATAACTATAAGTAAAAAGCTGTTTCTTATACTCTATACCATGTACATAATATACTTGTTTATAAGGAACCTTATCCCCTTATTTCTCATAAGACCAAGGGCATATAATTCAAGAATGCAGCCCATGTTAAACAGATTCCTGCCATTTTTGATGTTACGAGTGGACTGTGAGTACATAAAGCCCTTCATATATCATAAATAAAAGCCCATGTAATAACGGTTGGCGAATTCATGAGTACCAGACAAAAGTTTAAGTAGTTCTATCAATAATGAAGTCAGCAATCTGAAGGTTTTGCATGATTTTTATGTTACTCTAAAAATATACACACAAAAAGTCTTATACAGTACTGAGTCTTGATGCAGACGCTGGTGGTATCACATCTGCACCATCCCTGCAACAGAATGTAAACAGTCTGCATTATAAGACATCGTAGTGTTGAACTTGTTATTGGGAAATGTCTACTTCAAATCCTGGCCAACCCACTATAGCGGTGGTTGACTTTAAATGGACTACATAGCATTATATGCCAGAAGACAGAACTCATGAACTTTTCCCAGACCTTGTTGTGATTTCTCTCATTCCTTATATGTAAAAAGTAAGTAAAGCTATCCCCGTAATAGGCCATGAAAGCACATAGGGTTGTGAGATGTTGAGGGTCTCACATTTTCTAGACAATCAGCTCAAAGATGGCGGTAAGGTTGTCAGCCTTACTCCCCAGGAAAATTATTTAATTAATTCCTGGTACTCACTTCTGTTAGAGGCTCAGTTGACCCCAGGGTCATAGTGCAGCTGGAAGGATTAGGTCAATTGAAAAACTCCAATGACCTCATTGGGACTTGAACCTGCAACCTTCTGGCTTGTAGCACATTCCTTATAAGCACTTATAGTAAATGACTGAAGGAACAAATACATTATACTCTGTAGGTATGTTTGTATTCAGTGACAGAAGATAGCTCAAACTGCCATCTTCCGGTTGGTAACAATGTTCTCTTTATGTGGATACAACATTAGGAACATACTGCCTCCATCTTCAGGGTTGAAGTGAATGTTTTCATTTCACATGCCATACAGCATTCAATCAGTAGCCACTCTTGAGACAGCATTTGCTTGGGCACAGAATACTGAGTGTTGCTTTTACACACTGTCAGATTATTAATTCAAAAGTTCTAGCCAGAAACCTTTGTATAGAAGTTATAACCCCATGTCCAGACAGACAGACAGAACAATGACTGACAGAGATAGGTTTTCACACTACGAACTGAAATCTTAAGAATATAATACATGCATGGAACAGCAATTTTCATACAGAACTACATGCATTTTATAATTAAATATTAAGTTACCCTGATTTAGTGTTTTCTTCTTGTTTAATGTAATGTTCTGTTTCTTACCATTGTTTTGAGATCATAGGGATGGTTATGAAGGCTGGTGGGCACATTCAGAAAGCAGTCAATAGTCATGCACTGTATGTGGGCCACAGAAAGCTGTGAGATAGTAAAACATTGTAAATCAAAGGCAAATCACCATCCGCACAGTAACAGTTAATAATTAATATTTGTACACAAATGCAAGGTACTGTATGCTTTTCATCAAGTTCTTACAGACAAATTAAAACGGAGAATTTGACATGGAATGTATACAGAAGGCAATAAAAAATGTGAAAAACTGAATGCAATACAATATTTCAGAGCAATCTTAAGTTTCATTCAATATACTTAATACAAAATGGTGATAACATTCAAATACACTGAATGCAACAACTTGTGCAGGACACTATTGCTATGGTGCCCACAATAGTGGTGAAAGATAATTATGATGAAAATGCTGCGTATGTACAAGACACAGGAACTGATATTGCCTCTGCAGCAAACATGAACAGGAAGATAGCCAAGTTCGAGTTTTCTGCAGTACATATACAACTTACCTGTACAGATAACTCTGCTCGAAAAGAATATTGTATGTGTGATTTCTACAAGCCACGGTGCTCTCAAAAGCAGCAATTAACATGAGAAAAATGAACAAGAATTATACAGCAACAAGATTAGTGAAGCAAAACACAAATTTATTAAACACATACATTGCAAAACAACAGGCAGGTATGGTCACATCCGGTCAGGTCAGGTGAGCTCTGGCCTACCCATCGAGATGCATCTCCCTTCCCCCACGATCGCCATCCTTCAGGTTTGGGTATAATTTGGCAATGCTGCCACCTCCTGCTGTAGCTTCTCCATTAAGCCTTCCAGCAAACTCCTGCCTCAAGTCACGGGATCGTTGTTCAGCACTGGTCCGGCTGATCCAAATGTCCAAAACGGTTCTTGGTCCTGAATAGATGCTTCCACCGGCTATGGGCCCAGATCGGAGTAGAGAGGATCTGGAAGGAACAGACGGAGGCGTGGTTATGGACATGGGAGGGGGTGACATAGGAGAGTCTGTTGTTGCTCGAATGACGCTGGCCCGGGGTACATATTCACTCGGCGATGCTTCACTGAATTTACCAAACCTTTAACAATACAATGGGAAGTGCAGGAAGTTTTAAAATGTGTTTGTGAGATGATAAAAATACTATAACTGAGATTACAGCATATCTGAAGAATGACACAAATTAAGTCAAAATTTCAAGCTAAAACTGTTCTTAAATTATGAGCATACATAATATTGTTAATGTAGTTTTCTTTGTGAGATTTGGGTATTTCAACAGTCATTATTTTCAGTTGGAAATGAATGTGGTTTCCCCTAGTGCCAAATGTCTGTCTTTGTATATCTCTGGAAGTTTTACAAGATAAATATCTGGCACAATATTAAGAAATATAT